ACTTATCCATTCACCTCTTGGAAGACATCACCTTCACCATTCCACCGGTCAAAGAAGCAAAAGACTAGCCGCCAACAGCACATGAAGTTCACAACAAGTTGCAGAAAAGTATGACCTTTTCTTCCCAATTTTTGACAAATTATCAAAAGGGTTTCGGACAAGATGTGCTCTGATTGCGCATTTTCGGAAGAAAATACACAATTCATAATCTTGTTATTTCTGTTCTGGAACGTTTGGCATAACAACTGAATGTGCTCTCTTTGCAGGCCTAAGTTTTCTTCTTCGCTTCCTTATGGATCCTTTCATGCAAGCTTCATTTTTTTTTTTCCCTCTCTTGCAACGCTTTCTGTGAGCGCCAGAATGCGAGCCTTCGAAGCTTCAAACAATCCTCAAGCCGTGTCGGGTTGTATAAAATAAAAGAACGCGACCGTCCATTTCCAGTGGGTTTATCTGAATTTGACCTGCCATTTCCGATCAAACTGAGCCTCAGATTGATTAAACCTATCAGTACAAGTACATTACGACGACGAAGATCGGTCCAAGATTATGGACATGCACATGCTTGATATGTGATCCAAAGTAATATTTTCCCCTAGCTGTATATGATCTGCTGCTCCAAGCATCGCTGTAATGTAATAGACATATCTCTGTTCTTTGATACGGACTAGCTTGTTCAAATAAGTCATGCTTCATGAACTAGTTGTTCCTAGGAAGACTTAAGATGTCCTTTCTATTCTGATACCAGATTAGAGAGGAATTATGGAAAAAATTAAGGATACCAAAACAACATATTTCAGTTACCTAGATCTAGTAAATGAACAGAACACGGATACATTCTGTTCACTGACTTTGCAATGCATCAAGCCTGATGAAATACAGTCCTTTCTCTTTTTCACCACCAATATCCTGTATACATATCAATTTGATGGCGGTATTGCAGTCATTAAAATCTACAACTACATGCCCGGTTAGTCGCAAAAAACAAGAACGAAAACTAAATTTTGTCCGTCCTTCTTCCCGTGCTCAGTGGTCACACTGGCTGTATATTGTCCTTATACAGGTAAAGCTGTTGTGTCCGGAGTTTTCTTTCCCTATTCGATGTTGGTTTATGGTCCCCTTTAGGATCCTGAGCTGTCCCAAGATACTGCACCCTGAATTTCAAGGGCTATAACCACGTGGTTGTGGTGATGGCCGCCGATTCATATTGCCAAATCGAAGGTCATTTGAATCCCCAGGGCTGTCTGGTGTTCCGACGCCTTCTCCCTGTGGTCCTAGACCGACATACTGTTGCACTACAAGCACCGACACGGTCGCTGCAAAATCTGATGATGCTAACAAATCCCCAATTGCTCCAAGTTCGGGGCACTCGCTCCAGTCTGTGAGCCCTGCTGTGAGCGGCGATATCATTCCTTGCCCTCTCCCCACTATGAAAAGATCATGTGAACTATCAATCGACCGTATTGCCGCGACTGTCTCCTCCCCATTGTTCACTAGCTTCTCAATGTAAACAACTGACTCGTCGTTAGCATTCCTCATCCTGAACTCGTTTACATACTCTTCATCGAGCTGCCTATCCCTGTCAGTGTCTGTCACAACCGATAATATCCTGGAGTCACCCGATTCGTTGGTGGACCCAGCTGCTGTGTCGATCGCCTCCTCACCTGGCACGAACCTCATCACAGTGAGGTTGATTCCAGGATGTTCGCACATCCTCCATCCATACGCCAATGCCTCACGATCATCAGGTCCCCCAAAGAACAAGACTGCAACATGATGAGCTACTTGGTTCGCTGCCAAGCGGGTAGATCCATTTAGGCCTCTGTCTACAAGAATCCCGACGGAGCATGGGCTGTTTGCCAGCACGTTTTGGTTGATCATTCTGAAAGCGGGGTTGGTGGCTTCCATCCCTCCATCGACCGTTTGCTGCTTGTGGAAAGGGATGATGATAAAAGCCGCGCGCTTATCCTCTGCCAAGTTGCAGATGTCCTCGTGCATCGTGGAGTACGGCGATATGGCTGTGAGGGGCTGGACAGTTACAAAACCGGCATGTTGTTCATAGTTTTCAAAGGCATTGATGATGTGGTCAGACTGAGCCTGTGTACGGTTCAGGGCCGGTCGACCTGATTTCCGAGTATTGTGGACAATGAGCATGGCAGATGCACGCCCAGTGAGCTCAACTAGGTGGAGCACATAGACACAGATCGGAGATTTTTTGGTGGGGTTGGAAGCCTCCAGGAGGTTAATGATTGTTGGCACGTTTCGAGGTGTGTGGACGCATACAAGCACTCGAAACTCCGCATCAGGCTTTGACCTTTGAATAGTTCGACGCTTGTAGGGTATGAATCTCCTGGCTGGCCTGTAAATTATCGTGATGGCGGGTGTGATGATTGCGGTGACAACTACGGCTACAATCACCATGGCTGCAAATGATTTGTCATCCAAAACCTGCAAAATTCAAAGTTTCATTTCATCTTCACAGTCCAATGGCTTGCGCAAATAGATGAGAGCACCCCAAAGCTGAATCTTATGCAAGGAATGTCAGTCATGTTCATACCTTTTGGTCCTTGCCAACATTAAGAATGATCATTTCGACTAGGCCCTTGGTGTTCATGAGCAAACCGAGTGTAATTCCCTCTCGGACCGGCATCTGGTAAAATATGGAAACTATGAGAGTCCCAACAATCTTGCCTACGCCGGAAAGAAGAATGATGAGCCCTAGAAACCCCCAGCTTCTCGCCCCTGCAATCTTCCCTACATCTGTCCTAAGCCCACTGATTGCAAAGTATAGAGGAAGCAGAAGCCCCGAAACAAAGTCCTCAAGCTTTTCAATCAGAGTAACTCCTAGTGGCCCATTTGGAATGATCAGTCCAAAGAGGAATGCTCCGAAGACAGAATGCGTTCCTATGGCGTCTGTAATGAAGCCTGATATCATTACCCCAGTGAGAATCAGGCATATGTAGAACTCACTGTAGGTTTCTCCCTCTGGGGTCCGCCGAATCATCCATGCAATTGCAGGTCGCACTACGTAAATGCACACGAGGATGAAAGCAATGCTCGATAGCACTACCCATAGGGATGCAAGGGAAGTACTCTGATTTTCCGCCAATGCGATGGCCAAAGCTAGGAGTATCCAAGCGCACATATCATTAATAAGAGCAGACGACATCGCAATCCGTCCTAATTCCGTATTAATTAGTTTGAGCTCGGCAAGTATCCGAGCAAGTACTGGAAATGCAGTCACTGAGAGAGCTACCCCAAGGAACAGGATATAAGTGCCTTGGGACATGCCTTCTTTCTTTGTGTCCAACAGGAAGGAGAAGCCGACTCCGAATATGAACGGCAGGATCATGCCCGCGACGGCGATTGCTAAAGACTTCCTCCCCGTGCGCTTGATCACTGAAATGTCCATCTCAACTCCGACCAAAAAGAGGAAGTAGAGCAGCCCCACATTTGCCATCGTCTCGAGCACCATGACGCTTCTAAGTGGGAAGATCGTATCCGCGAACACCTTGCTCCTGCCGAGGACTGATGGCCCTAGCAGTATCCCTCCCTGTTTCAGAAGATCAGATCTAATTAAATGTGGTTATTAGCACAAGTTTGAAGTCCACGACGAAGGAGAAATTTATGTGCACACAGGAACTTTTGCAGCACCATATTTTTCATTTTGCCTCTCTTTAATTAATGCAGTGGCTTGATTCATCTATGTTTTGATAACAAACAGGATTTAGGCGATTCTTCTGCCGCACTAACCTGGAATTTATTGATGGAAAGATGACCAGCAAATGCAATTGATCGGTTGAATGATGATAATACGATACACACAAAAAGCAGAACCCAGAATTGGTCATTCAATCATATCCACATTGATACAAGGAAAGAAAAACACAGGTTCATGAAGTTGTCGCACATTGAAATTAATGGACAGAAATTGAACTGCATTTCTTTCCTTTTCTGCCAAAGGTGACATTAAGGTGCCATAGACCAACTTACCACGATCTCGGAAATAACTCGCGGTTGGTGGAAAGGTTTGAGTATGTACACCATAATGCGTGTGACGACGACGACCAAGGTCAATTGCAAGATGAAGAGGGGCAGGGAATAATCCAGGGGGTTGTCGCCTTGCCATATGCCGTTCGTCGTGATCATAGTCGGCGCGTAACAGACGATCGAGTCTTCTGATTGGTTTGCCTCCGCCATTGCTTGCTTGCTTTATCTTCCTATTCCCTCTGTTGCTCTTCCAACAAGACTGCCACCACCTAAATACCACCTGTTACTTCGACGACAAATGAGTCAAAACAAGATGTTCATGGCAAATTTTGAAGAGCAAGATACAAGTTTCATCATCATCATCATTGGGTGGATTTTCTTGTTCTTTTCCGTTTTGGGTTCCTCATGTGAAGAGATTCAGATTGCAGCTTGAGAGAGAGAGAGAGAGAGAGAGAGAGAGAGAGAGAGGCAGGTAATTCGTTAACATTCCTTGGTTAAGCGACCTATTGGGGTGCTCTGTGTTTGTGTTTGTGGTTATTGTAGTTGTGGATTGTGAAGATGCCTCTTTTTAAGGTCAAGGGCACACCACAATTCATCACCTGATAGTATTGAATCTCCGATGCTGTTGGTTAATAGTATCTTAGAGATGATAGTCATTATTTCTTCGCAACTACATTTATTTCAGACACAATTTTCGTTTCTAGTACATGTTGCAAACGCCAGTTCTAACAAAATTGGTTCAATTAGTTCAATTAGAGTCCTCAGGTAGCGAACCGACTGACTACCCTTCCATAAAGATGGGACAGTGATTTGTTAGTCTGTTCAAATAGGGAAGGCCGTTTACGATCTAGCCAATTAAGACATGGATGGTGGACATAGACGCTCCGATTAAGCAACGAGTTACCCATCTGAGTCACGAAAATCGCTTAAATTTGTGATTTATGAACAGAAACTGATTCGAAAATTTAAATATTTGGCGCAGCATTCACTTTATCATACACGTGTGACATGTGTGTATCAAATCTATTCATGTATAATTTTCCCTTTAGATGAAAAAATCCATATGGCAGGGTCCCAATACAACAAAAGGGAGACTGCCAAGTTGGTTTAGCCAGACATCTGTTCTACAAACCATACAGAGTGCCAATAGAAGGCGATGGGAAACACTTCATCTAATCCTTGGGATTATTCACAATGAATGCAATTGTTTGACTCTCTGTATTGCTTGCTTCACCTTGGCCAAGGGTTCCTCATACAATATCGCGGGATCATCGAACTTTGATGCCAGACTCGGCTCCCCGAGGAAAGCCCGGAAAGAGTCTGCTACGGAATAGGAGAGTGAATGGAGGTTGTATCCTCCTTCCAGAAAGAAGACACAGCGTCCCCCGCAAAGTTCTTTCGCAAGTTGCTTGATGTTGGAGGCAAGTGCGTAATATGTTCCTGTAGTGAACTGCAAACTTGCTAGTGGATCCAACACATGAGCATCATACCTTCAGTTACAAGACAGGCAAAGACGATGTCAGACGGGTACTGGAACACAGAATAAATGCACACAATTTCAAGTTCTCCTCAGTAGTATATGTAAAGGAAATGGCTCCCTCACCCGGCTGAGACGAGGATGATGTCTGGATTGAACCTTTGTGCACATGGGGCAATGACTTCATCAAACACAGTCCTCATAGCAATGTCTCCAGAGCCTCCAGGTAGTGGCAGATTAAGGGTTGTGCCTTCACCATCTGCGACACCTATCTCGTCAATTTTACCCGTACCTGGATAGCTTCCGTCCTGCATAACCGCATGTAGTAAAGTGCAGAGCCTTACATTTACATTCCCTCAAGAGATAAGTTAAGCTTAAGAAAAATTATCAGCTTAAAAATAAAATAAGCTCACTAACTGCTGAGCAAGCACAAAGTTTGGTATACTTCTCTTTAAGTGAACTTGCAATCAAATTAGTTTAAATAAGCTAACGGAACTCTGGGAGAAAAAGGGAAACTCTCTTTGAAACTCAAAAAGCAGAAGTGTTTTCTTAACTGCCCTCATCTTGTCAATTTTAACTCAAAGATCGAAGAGTTCAAGATACTAGAAATCTAGACAAAGATTCATGGCAATCTTACTTGGTGTGTCGAAAGAAAGAATATGTCTGGATCATCATAGAAAGCATCGCTGGTCCCATTTCCATGATGAACATCAAAATCAATAATGAAGATGCGCTTCAATCCATGTACACGTTGAGCATAGCGAGCTGCTATAGCTATGTTTCCAAAAACGCAGAAACCCATTGGTCCTTTTGGAATGGCATGGTGGCCTGGAGGTCTAATCAAAGCAAAAGCAGTTGGTGGATTCTGGGTGATGCTGGATGCGTCTACCTGGGATACATAGAGGAGTTTAGTTTGAATATTCATTTACTTCTTCCTTCCATAAAAAAAAAAGTGTATTTTACAAACAAAACCCAGCGATCACAAAAATAAAGATGGCAAACTTGGTGACATCTAAACATAAAAGAGACTAACGTGCTGGATTGGGACATCACCACTGAATCAACTAAAGCCATTCCAACTCCAGCTGCAACAAGTGACTCCTTGAATGTCTGCATTTGAAATCATCATTAGTTTAAGATAGCATTTGAAGAAGTTATCCATGCAGCTATGAGATAATTTCGAGCTTGGTATGAATAAATCTATCTGTGACATTTTTACTAGATGAGATGGGATTATACTTTCGTAAGATTAAGGATATCACTCTAGGTTGCGTGCATTTTATCACTATATATCAGCTGAGATACTCTCGCCAAGACAGGATGGTTAGCAGAAAAGCTGCAGGACGGACTTCTACAGGACACTTCCAGATTCCTTTCTTGTTAAAAATTAACAAGAAGGGACACAGCTTATGAACATATTGACATTGACTGTTAAAGAGAAATGATCTCTCATGACATTCTTCATTAAAAGGACGGCTTTTTATTTAACAAAATTGACATTTTCATGGCCATTGCTGGTCATACTTCTTAAAAACCATCCTATAGACAGGTTAGCAGCCCCTCATGCTCTTAACACAACATGCTCCTAAACAATGAAGTACTCTGGCTGACTTATTTTTGCAGTTCAACAATCGACATAATCGGTTTGACATGATCTAATCTATATAAACAGTGAGATATATTCCTCTAGTCTGCAACTGTAGATAGCTGGAATACTTCATACCTTCAACACATTCTGAGAGACTGTAAGATTGCCCATCAAAGCTTTCAAATATGTATTTTAAATTTTTCTAGAAAAATCTTTCAAAGGAGAAGATTATACATAGTAATCAATCAAAAATATAATATAGCTTGAAAGAGAAATTGCATTTTAAGGAAAAAAATTTCTATGCACTTGCTACCTTCTCGTCATAGGAATTCTACATTTGATGTACTTCAAAGCAATATCTTACATGACCAGAGCATATCATAGCAGAGGTAGAAACTAATTTGTAACACGTGGCTTTCCATTACAGTTGAACGAACGTAATAAAACTGAAGCGTCTAACAATATGAACTCTTCATGATTTGACATATTATCCAAACTTACAGTAGCAGTGGCATAAGTTGGTCCAGAGCCTTCAATATAAATGATGCCCTTATCTGAAGCCTTGTCCATGGCCTATAAAATATAAGAGTTCATCAAACCTCAATCTTTTGGACATGCTACCAAAGAAATTGTACAGCCAAAAAGTCTTTAGCGATTTTAAGCAAATTTCTCCAAGAACATAGAGGAACACAAAAATACAAGCAGCAAATGCATTTTACACTAACTGTCTGAGGTGTCTAATGAAACATAAGTACCAAAAATGGGAATCTCAATTCAGCAATTTAGGTAGTCTAACCTTGGAAGCCTAAGAGCTCAACAGAAAACTAAAATTTTGCTGGTGACTGGTCCCACTCAGATGGATGTGAGCATCAGCTTGTTTGTTTGTTGTCAAACTTTTTTTATTTCATTTTTTACTTTGTAATGTAATGCCTCTTTAAATTCACCCGATTGCCTTGTGTCCAGACACCCCCAATCAATTTAACAATCAATCACTTGCCCTGTGTATAACTTTCCTCTTTCCATTTTACTAGTAGTTAGATATTGCAATTATTAATAAAACGGGGCATGACGAAGAATCAGTGCTCTCATGGCAACAAAAATCCTCAAAGAGGTTAAAGAACCCACAAATAGAGACGAAAAAGAACCTTCCTGTCAGCGCCCATATCAGGAACATCAATGAAAGACAAAATTTCTCAGGTCTCTCTCTCTCTCTCTCTCTCTCTCTCTCTCTCTCTCATGCGCGCGCACACACACACATGCCCATAATTTAAATAGCTCAACAACCATCCATACATGCTTTAATGGATTTCTATGCCTGTCAAACTACACGGAACAAAAAAGCAAAACTCTTTCACCAAAGGCCAAGTTCTCTTTGATGCCAAGAACTAACATTACTGCTGGTGAGTGTCATAATGAAAGACAAAAAGCAAAGTGTAAGCCAGATAAAACTTATAGAGGTGACTTGGTGAGTTAAGGTACCTTCTCAAGACCCAATACATAAGCTCTTGTGTGAACATGCAATAGATCATCCACAGAAGCAGGCTTAACAGTTGGAAGTTCAACAATGTCATCACTGCGAACCTGTAAGAAAAATCATTACTATTTAGTGCCTAGTGGCTTTAAAGGTTATTGGATAGATACTAAAGCCTTTGACGGCAGCATCTGTTGGGACGTCAGGAATTAATTTTCTCACATTAATCAAAAATAGTTTTCATTGAGTTCCTGAAGAAGCAGAGATCGGATTACTAACTGCCAGGTTTCTAGCGTAATTTCAGGCACAATTGAAAATTCCGACTCATTATATTATGAATCGAACTTAAACAACATTTCTACAGTTTCTGGTGGAAGTCAATTAAGAAGTGCAGGACAACAGATGTACGAAAGAAGGCAATCTATAAATAGTAAGAATAACTAAAGCGTGATTAATGGAATCATATATAAGAGGAGTGCAATACCTTTGGAGTGAGTTCCATCTTCTCAAGAGCTGTAACAATTGCTGGGACCCTAAAATGGGATTCGGGATGCGACTCCTGCCATCGGTACACGCAGACCATCATTAGAAGATACATGAAACCACGAAGTGCAATTACAAACAGGAACAGGGGCCAATAAAAGCCGACTGGTGCAACACTCGAACCAAACACAGAAAAGGACAAGAGCAGCTCAAAACATGTTCCATCGCGAATCTCATTCCATGACAATCAATTATCATTATAATCTGAGTCCAACCACAAGTTTCTCGATGGCTCGACATTACTGCCGATATTCCGGGTGATTTACGTTAATGCGCAAATGCTGCAATACCACTGGACTAAGCAACCAACCCTTTTCAAGAATCTGATAACAGAGCCACATGAGCGATCATCTAAACTCGAACTTGCAATCTAATTAACTCGAACACCCCCGCGTCAGTTCGTCCAATTCTCAAACGCAGAATCATAATTCAGACACCAAATGAGAACGGACCAAGCCAGTAAGCACAACTAACAAGAACCGACACGATATAACAACGACATCGACATGATCCGATCACTAGACAAACAGTGACCCCTTCAAGTGTAAACCTTCAGATAAACCCAAATGAAGAATCCAAAATCCAGCCCAAGTCCAACCTGGTTGTGACCCATGGCGGGGGCCACGCCGTAAATAACACGCGCGGCGGCCGGCCGCGGAGGCTCCTCCGCCCCGCTCGAGCAACGAACCGGACCGCCGGTCACCGGCGAGCAACGTCCCCTCCGAGCACCCCCGAATTCGGAATCCAAGCGAAACCCAGCACGGTTTCGCCGGCTGCGAACACGGTTCCATCCCCGGAACGCCGCGTTCCCTGGCACGAACCAAAAGGGTGATTCCTCCGCTCATCAACCGTTCGGCGGCACCGTGAAACGTAACGCCGTGCGATCGCCATGCGGCATGCAAAGAAGGGAAACGAACGCGAGGAACAAGCGAGACGAAGACGAAGAAGAAGAAGAAGAAGAACCAGGGAGAGAGGAAGCGCGAGGGGCCGTACGAAGCTCCATGGCCAGAGGTCCGGAACGTCACTGCCACACCACACAAGCGCGCTGAGAGATTATTTATTAAATTTAATGAATTTTATGGCCAAAAAAAATATCCATTTTTCAGCTGAAAATTATTTTTTTTAAAAAAAGAGGATTTTTCCTCATTTTTTGAGTCTTGGAGTTTCTCTAATTAAATTTGCCATAGGTTACGTTTGTCATCATCTTTTTTATCTATCCTAACTATCGGTTCAACATTAAATTAAACATAATTAATATCGATCGATACCGATTTTCCATCTTATTTTGCTTCGATAGTAAGTTTAAATGCAACGTTTCACGATTGTTTTTTATATCCAAATCTTAATTTCAATTTACAAAATTTCAAAAAATGGGACATGTGCTTTGTAGGGATCTTGATTTATCTTTTCATGAAAGCTAAAATAAAAATATAAGTGCAATAAAAATAACGACCATCATCTAATAATGAAACGAGCTTAAATTTATTGCATTTTTTTCTTGTTGAACATTCCAATTTGTTGTCGTGCATTATTGTTTAGTTATTCATATGAATTCTATACCCTACCTTATTGTTGAAATATTCACTTGTTTATTGGGTTTGTATGATGTTTATATACATGCAATCCACATCTACTTCACATATTGCACTTTTTAACACTTGTATTTAATGATTAAAGTCATAAAGTAGAACTAATATAGAGGAGATCAAATTTTCTTTGAATTTAAGAACGCACTCATATATGTTAACAACATCAAGATAGGTTGAAAGATCATCACGCAATAAAAATCTTTGAAATTGTTTTGAAGATGTGGCCCTAGTCGGTAGGTTATGAATATAATGTTTAATGGCTAATACACATCACCTTAGGAAACAATGTCATTGTTGATTACATGACAAATATATGGGTCAAACGTAAAACTACATGATCTTTTAATCCGTTGTGGTCCTTTGACTTTAGCTCAATATCCAATGTAGTTCATGAACTTTTAATTCGTTTAATATGATTCTTGAACTTTTCATACATGTTCAAATTAGTCCCTAGGCTATATGAAAATATTTAATGTTGACATTAAAAATTCGTATAGCCTATTTACTAGTTTGAATATGTATCAAAAGTTCAAAGATCACACTGAACAAATTAAAAATTAGAGATCACATTGCTAATGGAATCAAAGTTCAAAGACTGTTTATGTCATTTTCCTTATTAAGGATCAAGACTACTCATGGAAAGTATTTAGTATGAAAAAAATGAAGAACAACAATTTAATTTTCAAATAATATGGCATAATTTAGTCAAGAAAAAATCTGTTGATATAATACAAAAGAAGAAATAAAATTGGATTAATACCAAAAAAAAAAAAAACTCCAAACTGGTACACCTATGATAATTTTACCCCAAACTATTTTTTTAATCACAAAAAACCCTAAACTGATACATCTGTGACAAATTTATCCCAAACTAATATTTTAACCACTAAAAATCCAAACTTGTACATTTATAACAAATTTACTCTCCATTAGTTTCCGTTAAATTGAATTAATATCACAAAAAATCACAAACTAGTACACCTGTGACAAGTGTAAAACTAAAACTGGTATCGCGTGCCATTTAACAAAGCAGTTTGAAAGTAAAATTTAACGGAAACAAATTGATGGTAAATTTATCACAAGTGTACCAGTTTGGGATTTTTTGTGGTCAAAAAATTAGTTTGGAGTAAAATTATCACAAATATATAAGTTTGGGGTTTTTCGTGATATTAACTCAAATAATTTTGACAAAAAAACAGAAAAAAAATCTTTCGAACAAGATATCATCATTGTAAAAGGAAATAACATCAAATGCATACCCTCATTTTTTTTCTGGATCCAATTCCGGTTCTCGGTTTTCGATTCCCGGTTCCCGATTCGGCCGAACCGGGAACTGGCGATTCCTAACAAAAATGGCATCGGAACCGGGACGATTCTCACCGGTCCCGTAGAACCGGGTGATCAATTCCCCGGTTCTCAATTTTACCCGAAATCATGCTCGCCTCCAGGAAATGCCGGTCAAATAGTGCGAGTGCGACTCCTGAACCGAAAACCGGCCGGTTCCCGAAAAAGTGACATTGGAACCGGGATCGATTCCACCGGTCCGGGTGACCCGGGTGATCGGTTCCCGGTTCCCGGTTCTACCCGGAACCATGCTCGCTCCTAGAAAACGGCGGTCAAACACAGTGCGAGCGCCACTCTCCTCTTCCTCTTCTTCCTCCTCTTCCTCCTCCTTCCTGCTAAAAACCCTAATCGAAAGCCATGAGGTCCCGATACGCCATGGTGTGCTCCTCGAACCAGAACCGCAGCATGGAGGCGCACGCCCTCCTCAAGAGGGAAGGCTTCGACGTGTCGTCGTACGGCACCGGGTCGCACGTCAAGCTCCCCGGCCCTTCCCTCAGGGAGCCCAACGTCTACGACTTCGGAACCCCCTACAAGCACATGTTCGACGAGCTCCGGCGCAAGGACCCCGATCTGTATCCTCTCCTGTCCCGATGATGACTCCCTCGTTCCATCGCTCGCTCGCTCGCTCGCTTGCCCTTTTTTTGTTTGAGTCCGGCGATATCGGCTAATTCCGAGAACGACGCGAATTGATGAAATCTTTTGGCATGTTTGTTTACCTGAAAGATGATATTTTTTTTGCAATCGGAAGCCCTCAATTCTGATGGATTTTGCGTGTTTTTTCGGCTGATGGGAATCGCGTCATCATTTCGCAGTGTGTTCATTTGTTTGATTGTTTAGTTTGCGAGTTGCATATTTGCCTGGCTGTGAGCATACTAGTTCGGTTCAAATTGGCCATTTTCTGTGCTGTTAAAGAAAAGAAAAGAGCTGGCTTCGGTTGTGATGGAATGTTGTTTGGTTAAAAGGTTGGAGTGGTTGATGGCTGTCTGGTTATATTTTGAAGCGGAATTAGGACACTTTTTTTCTTGTTTTTGGGCAATAAGCGAAGGCAAGAGCTTGTTTACCTGAAAGGTGAGATTTTTGCAATCGAAAGCCCTCAATTTGATGGATTTTGCGTGTTTTTTCGGCTGATGGGAGTCGCGTCATCATTTCGCAGTGTGTTCATTAGTTTGATTGTTAGTTTGCGAGTTGCATATTGTTCTGGCTTTGAGATTACTAGTTCGGTTCAAATTGGCCATTTTCTGTGCTGTTAAAGAAAAGAAAAGAGCTGGCTTGGGTTGTGATGGAATGTTGTTTGGTTAAAAGGTTGGAGCGGTTGATGGCTGTCTGGTTATATTTTAAAGCGGAATTAGGACATTTTTTGTTTGTGGCAATAAGCAAAGGCGAGACCTTTACAAGAGTTTCAGTTACAAGCGCAATGGTATCTTGCCTATGCTCAAGAGGAATATGTCTGTGAAATTAGCGCCTCAGAGATGGCAAGACAACTCTCCTGATGGCCCCTTCGATGTGGTGATAACGTTTGAAGAGAAGGTTTTCGATATGGTTCTTGAAGGTTCTTATCTTTGCCCTTGCAGCTTCTGTAATTTAATATCTCTTGTTCCATTTCTGAAATTCTGAGGGTCTATTATCACACGATCTAACTTCCCACTCTGTTTATTATTCTTTGAGTTTTGGCTTTACGTGTATATGCCCATTACTGTATTCAGTAAGGGCAGACGCATGATGGAGAAGAATTGTTTGCTTGATCTGGGGAAACCTCACTAGACAGATATGTGTTATCTGTAATTGTTTCTTGAAAAGCATAACAAGATTGTTACTTTTCAAGAATATTTTCTTTTCCGTCATTTTGACTCTAGTAGTGTTTCTGCTGCTATTCCGTTCACAATTAATTTAACCTTGTTTGTTTGTTTTATTGCCCTTATAAAGTACTTGGTTGTTGTAATATCCATGCATCTGGACTTCTTTTGATTTCTCAAGTACTTCATCAGGAAAGCAACATTTAAATTCTTGTTATTCTTCTTAGAGATTGTTGAAGGTGACTGGTCTAATAGAGTAACTGCCACAGGAGGGATGTTAATACTTACCTTCTCTTGTAATTATTAGCTGCCTTCTCTCTTTCTGCAACTTCGTCCATTCTTTAACCGTTTGTCAGGCAAATTTGATTTTGATACTTAGTAGGGTATATAAGATTGTTAGCAGGTCTTATCTTTAATTGCTAATATATAGATTTAAGCCTTGTTTGGCATACATTTAGCCATGGTTTTTTGGCTTTGGCTATGGTTTTATTAAATCTGATGCTGGTGATTTGTGACTTTTGAAATTCTTATTTTTCTGGACTCGATAGTTAGTAAAGATGATATTTATTGTATGTCTCCTGATCACTTTAAAGTGATATTTGCATGCTTCACACATTTTCACTTGAAAATGAAAAGCACAAGCCAGAAGCTGAGGGAGTAGTTTCTGCTTCTGTGGAGTAGCAAAAGTTTGGGGCAAAAAGCCCCCCATATGACCCTTTGACTAATCAATATTTCTTGAAGTAAAAGAGCAGTTTTGTTCTAACTAGATCTTAGCCTTTACCTATATATGGGATAAATATGACATCTTGCCCATGGAATGATGACAAGACATTGAATGCATATTTTGCAGATCTCAACAACCGAGAGCAGATTCTTATGAAGACTGTACTTGTGATTAACTTGGAGGTAAAGGATAACCATGAGGAGGCAGCAACTGGAGCTCAGCTTGCTTTAGATCTTTGTCGAGAGGTCTTTGACTGGCTATGCTTTATCTATTAATGATAGTATGCTTAATATCTGTATGCTGAGAAATTGCTTATTGTTATTTCTGGTCCACAGATAGAAGCAGCTGAGTCTTGGGAGGAATCTATTGATGAAATCGTGTCTCATTTTGAAAAGCAGAACAGGCGGAAATTATTATACAGCATTTCCTTCTATTGATGACCATGGTGAGGGCAAGACTCGTGCTCCGAAAGCTTTATGATCCATGTCGCCGTTCCGTTAGTAATTTGTCCGCATTATTTTACGTCGATGAACTGAACCTTGGGTTTCTGTTTGTCCATCTACTTGTACAAGGGGTAATATACTTAAATACATTACTACATTTCCTCCAACGCTCTTCCTGTTTGCTTTGCATGAAGCCTTCCCCGAGGAATCTTACTTTTCTAAACCCAGCGAGCCCTATATAATCCATTACACAGCTAATCTTTTGATTATGCCCTATCCTGAATTTGATCTCTTCTTATGTCAGGAAGATTGAATCAGGCTCTCTGACGTTTTTACGCCTTCACTCGATCTTGGTATTCACAGTCCACGCCAATTGTTGGGTTGAATGAGCGCTGTCCTTGACTCCTCGTTAGTGGTAAGTGATTTTTTGACAATTTCTCTCTCTGCACAATGAGAATTGTCTCTCACGCTTTGAATTGACCAAGCCTGTCATACTAATGTGCTGCGTCTATCCACTTTTAGGTAACACTGCATCGACGTGGAAAAGAAATTCTGAGTCGAACCCTTTTGCACTAGCTTTATCACTGGGATGTCGACCCATGATGATGTATTAGTAATTGGAAGCAAGCCAGTCTTGCTTAGGAGTGACAATTCCAATCATTGCTGTCCGTTAATGTTTTCTTAGTTTCTTTCTCTTTTTTTTTAGTTTCTTTGTATTACGGAACCAGTTCTGCGATGGTACTCATGCTGCGAGAGTGGAAAGAAAAGAGATTGTGGCGTATTGCATATAATTTCTTTGAATGCAACATGTTGGAAACCGCCTCTATTATCATTTTTCTGTCCTGTGCATATGAAAAGAAAAACAGAACAGATCCAACCTGACCTGGTTAGTCATATGATGATTCGGTTATGTATTTACGGTGGGTTCACAATTCAATTGATCCTATTTATTTAAGATGAGTTGGTTTGTGAAAGGAAATCACGTAAAAAAGCAGAGACTTCTGATTTGAGTTCATTTAGAAATTGTCATTCTTCTCGCTGGTTTGTTGGTCATTCCTTAGAGCTGGCTTCGATCTTGTCCTTTCGCTTGCTTTCCTTACCCTTGAATCAAAATTCTCTTGCTTATGCATTTAAAACAACAGGCTCTGTAATTTGTCGAAATTACCTAGTACGGACAGACAAAGTCATCCCCATATGACTTGCACCAAGGTTTGCAGTTTCACATCTGGAAGGGGAGGGTGCTTGCTTGACCTCTTCGGCAAGTATCTTTTTCGAATGTCTCAATTACCGTGCTCTTGAGCCGGTGAATTCTTCTTCTATTCTGCTGTTCTTTTGGGAGGACGATGCGGTCTATTGACCTTTCTGTGGAAATAAAATGTCTCCTCTCTCTAGAACTTCAATCTCCCCTGGGTTAATTTGTATAACGACAACTCCAGTTCGTTCATGGTACGGTCTACCCTCGTGCAGATTTCCTGCTGCTGATGTCCAAATAGCCTTGTGTTTGCATCCCGGCAGCTATAACCCAATAATGCCAGTGAAACTAGGCCAAACAACAGTGCGCATTAGAGAGAGAAAACGGAGCTATTCGGCTCACACGTATTTTATCAAATGTTACGATGGTATGAACAATGAGGAGAATTCAATGGATGATGACTCTCCATGAACTAACAAACAGCAGCATCAGCTGGCATTTCCATTTCGTATGACATTAAGTCCGATTCACTCAGCTCCTCATGGGCCTCGTAATCATCCGTAATGGCAACATACCCATCTCCCTTCATCTGTCCTAGGAGAGATCTTAACAAAGAATAAATATCACCCTTATGAGGGTGCCTCCTGTCCTTGACAATAAAAACATGAACTTGACCCTGAATTTCTATCCAGCTACAACCGGGCTGCTTGACTACTCCCCGTTGCCTCATCAGCTTCCTTATTCTGACAACTTCACCCCATTTCTTACGTTCCGCGTACATGTTTGAGAGAAGAACATAAGGTCCGGAGTTTGAAGGGTCGATCTCTAAGAGCTTCTCTGCTACATACTTCCCTAGCATTATATCCTTATGAACTTTGCAGGCTGCGAGCAGTGAACCCCAAACAACAGCATCAGCTTGCATGGGCATTGTCTCTATTAAGTCCTTTGCTTCATTGAGACAACCTGCTCGGCCGAGCAAATCAACCATGCACGTATAATGGTCCTTTACCGGTGCCAGATCATATTCCTCGATCATCAGCTTGAAATAATAACGCCCCTCTTCAACCAGCCCCGCATGGCTGCAAGCACATAGAACACCAATCATAGTGACACGATCTGGTCTCTCACCAGATACCAACATTTTCCTGAATATTTCAAGCGCCTCTATGCCGTAACCGTTCTGTGCATATCCGACAATTATGGCATTCCACGAAACTTTGTCCCGCTCCAACATATTTTTGAACACCCATAAACCATCTTCCACAGCTCCACATTTAACATACATATCTATAAGAGAATTTCCGACAAAAATATCGGATTCTTCTCCGGACTGGAAGCGAAATCCATGCTTCAAGACATGAGCATGAGCCTGCTGCCCCAACTGCAGATCCGCAAGATTTGCGCACGCATTGAGCAAATTTCCGAATGTGTAGTGCGTCGGCTCAATGGCTTCCCTCTTCAAAAGCCGGAATAAACCAAATGCTTCTTCATTCTCTCCATTCTGGGTGTACCCTGCAATGAGGGCATTCCAAGAAACTACATTCTTCTCCATCATCCTCGTGAACATTACTCTTGCAGCTTTTAGACTCGCTGCTTTTGCATACCCACTTACCATGGAGGTGGCAGACACTATATTCCTGGTAGGCATTCTATCAAAAACTGATCTGGCTTCACTAATTCTAGAGCACTTAGAGTACATATCAACCAATGCATTTCCTAAAACAACATCATTCCTAAATTTGTCACATTTTACAACACGGGCATGAATTTGCATCCCCTCCTTAAGTGCCGACAGGCTAGCGCATGCACTGACCACACTGGCTAAAGTAACCTCATCTAGTTCGAACCCACAATCCATCATGCTCACGAAAACCTCAAGAGCTTCACTGGCTGGACCATTTTGTTCATAACATGTAATCAAGCTGTTCCAAGAAACTACGTTTCGTAAACTCATTTCATCAAAAGCCCTCTGCGCACAAGCCACATTCCCACACTTAGAGTACATATCGATAAGGGCAGAGCCCATATGAACATCAGACGAGCACTCGGACTTCGATACCAAAGCCTGAATCTGCTGGCCCAGATCCATATCTGCTAACCCAGCACACGCACTAAGAGCACTACCGAATGAGTATTCATTAAGCACATAATTCTCCTTCTGCATCTTACCAAAACATCGCGAGGCTTCTTCAAATCTTTCATGCTGCGCATAACCCGACAGCATCGAATTCCACGAGCACTGATCGGGTTCCGGCATCGACCCGAATACCTTTTCCGCCTCATCAAGGGACCCCAATCTGATCAACCCGCCTAAGATCGCGTTCCACGTGAAGGTATTCTTCTCGGGCATTCTATCGAACACCCTGCGGGCATCGTCGAGACACCCGCACCTCCCGTATACATCGATGAGCCGGTTCTGGATGAAAACCTCGGCGGAGAACCGGGTCTTGACGATCCGGGCGTGGACGCGGCGCGCGTCCCGCGCCGACCTGGACTGGCCGCAGCCGTCCAGGAGCTTGGCGAACGGGGACGAGGTGGCGAACGAGAGGTCGCCCGCCAGAGCCTTGACCCATGCGTGCCTCGCCATTCCATCGTATCATCGTGAGAAATGAAGTGAACTCTCGGAGAAGTTCCGCATGGTTTGTGGTGCGGTTGGGAGTTTCCGTTGACCGTTATATACGCCTTTTCTCTTTAGCTAGATGCGCGGGAATATGTTGAAAGAGGGTTGATATGAATAGATTGCAGTGGCAAAATGGTAATTTAGCAATTATCGAATTTTCCTTGGATGGTTTGGTTGATAACAAAATGATGTCTTTTTATTTTCTCTCATTGAGCATTTACTAATACTAAGAATTAAACAATAACAACATGAATAATTAAAGAATCTATCAATTAGACTCATAAATATGAGTTAAGACTTTGATTCTGAGTAAATCCAAGCTATGAAGTAGGATATGGGGTAAATTTAATTTCTTGTCGCAAGCCACTTAATCATTTTTAGCCATATTTATATTGTATAACTCATGTTTTTTTAATTACAATTGTACCTTAAATATATAAAACAAGTCAATTATTATAAGAAATAAAGAATTATTTACATTTGAAACATAAAACACCTGTTTAATGATTTTGATTATTTCAAATGTAACCCATCAATAAAAATGCAAGAACCAATTCTGGAGCATGAGAGTTGAAGCTGTTCCCATATACTTTAGCTCCTTAAAGCTTGATGAAGCGTCTCTAAGGATTCCAGTCTATCTTGAACCTCTCTACCAGGATGAAGTTTCGTGAGCTTCTTCAGGGTTGGTCAGGTCAGGTAGTCCCTTCACGGACAGAAGACACGAAAGACATGGGAGTTCTCAGGTTCTCCAAACCCTTCAAGGCTTTTGAAACTGCATTGGCTTTATGCAACCAAGAATCGTCACGACCGTTAGTTGTTTCAGGTTTGAGAGGTCTACTGATGTTTTTATTTCCTCGTGAAATAGGATATGCAAGACGAATTATTCTGGGGAAGCCGGGTTAAGGACCGGAGGTTCTCGAAACCGAGCACAAGTTTCCTGACCAGAGGAAGGAGAACGAGATCTGAACATAGGGTGGTGATTTGCCGGGCTTGCAACTCCAAGGACTCCAGTTTGGGTAGCCTTCCAATCCACCAAGGATCATGGAACTTCCATGAGTCCGTAAGCGTCCTCAGGATAACTCGACACATATAGACACAAGCATCCTAGATTTAATAGGCACGAGAGATCTGGAAATGTGTGCATTGAGAAAATCAGAAGCACAGATTAGTTTAGACTCGCAAGAAGCACAGGAAATCCCGGAACCCGAGTTCTTGTCAATCTCAAGATCTTCGGCGATTTAAGTCTCCTGATATCAGTCAGAATTCGCCCCTTCATATGCTTGCATCCATCGCCATTTATCTCTTCAAGCTACTCTAATCTTCGCCATTCAGATTTATCAAGTTTGCCACTGAATAATGTAACTCTTGAAGAGATGAGAAGGATAGATCCAACTCCGTTAGAGATTCCATGTTCCCCATTGTCTCTGGTAGAGTTTCGTACAGTACTAGTTTGAGAGAACTACATGCTTTAGTTGACGAATGGACGCATCAATGTGGACCAATCTTTCATGTCTTCTGAGAATCACTTGCTCTAAACTCGCATGATAAGAGAGGTTGGGAGTTCTGCGCAACTGTTAGAACCTTCGATTTCTTTGCCATCTGTAACGAGATCACAAATAAATCTAGTGTCTTCACTGGCAACGAGAGTAATCACAAAACACTTTCAACTAACGTTATTGTACCTTGATGTGACTCCATCCATCAACCACTACTCCATGGCAGATCAAGGATAACCAGCTTCTGTAACGAAAAAGTGTTCAGCCTAAAATTCTCAGGAAAGTCAGTGCCATGAAAGCCATCTCAACTTCGAAAGACCGAGCGAATTCCTATGGCAACAGAAGATATGCCAAGAAATCCTTGTTGGAGGAACCTAGGAATAGGCTTCATTTCTTCATTTCTAAAGGAGTACTGAGATAGAAGCTGGATATACGTTCCTTCAACGTTTTGCTATCCCCTCAGCAGAAAAATAAAAGAGTAGTTAATAATCACCTAGTTTCCTTTTGAACTTATTCAAGGTCTACATTTCTATTTTTTCAAGATTTTAGTGATGATTTTGATCTACGTGTATAAGAAATAGCTCAACTTGGACTGAGGTACAATAATAAAAACAAACATATTCATGACTTATCTTTCTGTAAAGAAATGGCCTCAAATACTTTAGCTACTTTCTAACTAGAACTTCAAGCACCTCCTCGTAACTCCATGTCCTACTTTACTTGGTTCACGAATGACATCTCTCCCAAGGTCTCTTAACCAATCATGCATCCACAGTCCAGAGAGTCTTTTATCAAATGCAATGAAAAAACAAGCTTCTTCAGGAAAAAAAATTACGTTAGCCTACATGTGAAACACTTTTCTTTCATCAAATGCAATGAAAATACAAGGAATATCCAGACATATGTATTCCGTCAAGAATCCAATGCCTCAATACTGATCATCAACTTCTCATAAGGAAAATTTAATTTCCAACCTCGTCAATATGGTATTCCGCTTTGTTATGTTTTGCCCTGACAAGAATGAACCTATAACCTCAAGAGCTAGAGGAAGACCATCGCAAAAATTCACTGCTTGTGTGGAAACGAGGATGTACTCCTCTGATGGATAATCTCTTCTAGAGGCGTGTCTGCTGAAAAGTTGGAGAGAATGATCAAAATCCATGCAAGTAAGTTCATAAGTGCAATCAACTTTAGTCGCACCGAGTACTCCCACGTTTCTTGTGGTAATTATAACCCTGCTTCCTTTTCCAAAACCAATGACGCCTTGCCACAAGAGCATCTAGTTGAATTCTTTTGTCGACATCATCAAGAAGTAGAACCCTACTGTGGATAACCTTGCTTTAATTGTATTTATCCCTTTATCAATATTATTGATTTCTGACCATTTCCTTTGGAGGATGCTAGAGATCAGTTGATTCTGCAAATACTCGATTCTCTTTTTCTTTCACGCATCTCGAATGTCAGCAAGGAAGCAACGGCAGTGAAAACCATCTCAAAATTTATTGTTGACAATTCTGGCAGGTGTTGTCTTTCCAAAACCACCCGTTCCATACATTCCAATAATGTTTGTTTAATAAGTGTGAGTGCCCATCATTCTCATGACTTCATCTACATGACTATCCACTGCAACCAATAAATCTGAAAATACCGAGTGGGCCTTTTTCAACTCCATCAAAACCTTCCCGATAACTTCCTTTGCGAACTCAACTTCCCTCTGATAGCATTCAATGCAAAAGAACCAAGATGTTGAAATGAGTTAAACAAAGTTATTTATAGGAAACAAACAAGTCATATGGGATGAATTTACGTACCCTTTGGATTGTTTTGGAAGTCCCGTCCCTTTAATGCTCCAACCTCATTGAAAGCAACTCTCCAAGTTTGGAGAGTCTTATCATCAAGCGGCTTTTGTTTTCATGAGAAGCAAAGGCTTTGGTGTAGAACCCAGTTTGACATAATACCTCCGATGGTCCAACATTATAAAAAATGGGCATGATTTTTGTGTCCTCTTCTTTTCTTGCACTCTGCCATCTGCACCAACTCTTTGAGGCACCATTCCCCGGCAGCATATCCTTTATAGAAGTGTGAATCAAGGATTTCAACTGCTCCATCGCTTGAAGAAGCTCCAGGCCTTCCCCGATGCGGAGCTCTTCATAATCTCTATATACTCGAATTCCAGCATCATTCTTGTTGGTATGCAGGAAATCAATTATGCCAGAGCGTATCTGGTCCTCTAAGGCTTAAGAATACTTCATAATCATATCCTATTAACTTCTCCGTTTCCTGAATAGAAAGCTGCAACAATAGCATATTGATATCTGAAATTACATTGTCAATGGTCATGACACATCATCATAATTATCCGCTCTTCCTTTTTGGTACATTTCTGTCTCCAAGTGTACCCCAAGAAAGTCAAACCGCACTTGAAAATGTTAAATATGTAGATGCAGTGATGATGAGGCTAATTTCTATCAGAAGCCAATGCAGAGATCTATTCTGGGCTAATATAACAATAACCGCTTTGACAAAAGCATATTGTTTCTTGGCATTTTGTGCGAGCAATTAGTAAAGCGCAGTACCTTCTTTCTTTATGTTCCTCATGACAGAGGGTAAAAAGAAACTAAGATAAATGATATGTAACGATTTTCTCTGGAAAGATGACCAACTTTGACTACTCAGATTTACTATCCAGAATGCCTGTATCAGTTTGTTATCTAAATGGAAGTGCAGTACTATTCACCAGAAAGATGCAAACGCTATTCTGAGTAAGGCTCCAAATGGACAATGAAATAAGAAAGCAAAAAAATGTAGAGCAACATTAGTAGTCTGTTCATTGTTTGACTTATTTTTGTTTTGATGCACTACTAAGTAAGTTTGATTAAAAAAATGACTTATTCCATGATGATGACTCCCTTGATTTCAAGTGACGAGGAAGTGGAAAAAGGAAGAGGAGTTCTGTGAAAACATGGTGACTCATTGCAAAGTTGGATTCTGGAGCAGAAGAAACAAAGACATTAGACACTATTTAATACAGAGGCCAAGAGTTCAAAAAAAAGGAATACGTATTACTTGGTCCATCTTAAACCCTTCTGGGGAAGGCTTCACAACTTTCTTATCAGAAAGCACTGCTCAAAGATTGCCTTCCTCTGCATTCTTTTGCATTTTCTGTAATGGAACCTATAATTGCAGGTCAAAAGAGGGTAACGTAAGTGCAATTTGCCGCAAAAATGTCCTGTCTTGCTGAGCAGCTTGATTGATTAACTTACTAGGCCATAGAAAGGAAGTGTGAATTCTACTTCACAGTTATCTTCATAACCTCCCTTCTTTGATGTTATCCATATATTCGGCAGACAATTATGTTAAAAGAACAACATTCGACAAAAAATTCCCTCAAACGACTCGAAATCTGCAGGTTAGATACCATTTCTAGTTCATAAAGGAGCTGGGGTTCATCATAAGGAATTTCACAAAAAGGAAGAAATCAAGGAATTATTGATAGCCATCATTTGGCTTTGCTAGACCATAAAAAAACTCAAAATTCAGCAGACAATTTAGCATTAATTAGCTCAGGTGATAGTAGAGACATTAACATTTATTCATGAGAGAATAGGAAAGAAATAATAGTATGATGGTTGACTTGCAACTCATGGAAAAGCAGAAATTGGTGTGCTGAAGTTTGAGTAAAGTGAATGAAATCAATGGTTTCTTGTCTCTCTCATGTGCTAAAGTTCTCCGACTTTGCTATTATCTCATCTCTCCATTTATGTTCTTATTTTCATATTCTTGAATCACCTTGTACCAACTCAGAAGAGGCTAATGTCTGGCTACAACTAATTCTCATTAGCCAAATGAAATCAGATAATTCCAATATAACTAATTTAAAGGTTACCTTGGAGACCGCAGAGGATGTGTGGCACCAGGCGAGGTGACGCTGAGGTCATGTGACCTCAGCGACTGCTGCCGAAGGGCTAGATCTGGGTCCCTCGATTCTCAGCCTCGACCCACAGTGGTTTAGGCGAAGACAGCAGCTCAACGGTCAGCGCGACCCAACCGAGGGCCGCCAAGGCTTCGCAACGCTGAGGTCGCGAGACCTCCACGATGCCTATATAACTCAGCATTTTCTTCTTCTTTTTTTCATGAAAAAGGACAACTAGCCAAACTCTTGACTGCTCTGAATGGTATACTCTGCATGTCTCATTTGTTTAGGTTAATGATACACTGGCTTCACAGTTGCTTCCTCTCTTCAATGTATGGGCCAAAAATGGTTCATCCTTCCCCCTTTCACACTGGTCGGCAACTCCAGATAGGATATTGCTTTTCCTGAATACCATCTCTCATGAAGAATCAAATTTTCTCAATCAATGTCTGAACCTTTAAGCCTAAATTCACTTGCCTACCTTCCGATGGGTATAATCAACGACCCCAAGTTAATGTTTATACCCATTTAATACTCTTCATCCCCAAGAAGCCTTAGCCCCCAGCTCACAGCTTGCATAAGCTCACTCCTTAGAAAATCCAAACACATCGTAGGAATTTCGTTTGACACTTTTGACATCATCCATACAAAGTTGCATCTCTTTTAGAGGGAACATTTTGTCCTCAAGGTCGTTAGTTTTGGATGACCCCTTAAAGTTCTTTATATCATCCTCTCTAACCAAATTAATCCTAGACATATCTAATTCTAAGCCTTTATTTTCCCTTTCTACGAGCTCTGATGAACAGCAGACATCCCAATATCTGAACAGCGAGACTACAGTAATGATATTGATAGTTTTTTCATATGGGCAAACATGTTACATGAGAAATGAAGGACTTGTGACAAGTAGAGTTGCCATCACATAATAAGCAATAGTAACCATCTTCATCGAGATTTAGACAACCAGTTGTGCTTAAATTTGAAAATGGCCATGAAAACAAGGGAGACGATCAAAATTTCTGTGAATTAAACTGCTTCTCAATTTCTAAATGCGCCAGAATTGACCATAGTTAGAATGGAGAATTAAGAAGAGAGAGAGAGACAGAGACAGAGACAGAGATTTGAAAAATGATTGATTCATCATGAAATCTAAAGCCGTAATTGTTACACTCTTTACAGATCAATTTGTTAGTTAACTCCAATCGGTTAAAAAAACTGTTTCCCTTTACCTGCCAACTCTGATTCCTTGGCTTGACCTATTTACTTCTCTGGCTCAGACTTAGTGACTTCCTTCAGAGTCCTCCAATCGTCAGATCTCAGCAAATCTTTTAGCTTTTCGCACTCATGTATCCTCATATATTTTAGCTTCTTGAAGCTTGATGGAACTGGCAGCTGTTCCAGATAACTGCAGAACTCAATACGAAGTATCTCCAATGATTCTAGTTTGCCTTGAATATCAACCAGTTTAGGACAATTATACAGTTCAAGTTTCGTGAGCTTGTTTAAGGTAGTGAGGTCAGGCAATTTCTCCAGTGATGGAACTCTAACAAGCTTCAATGATCTCAGGTTCTCCAAGCCTTCAAGACCTTGGATCTCTGTTATCTCACAACTTGTAACTTCCAAATCCGCTAGTGCCCTCAAGTTTGAAAGGTCTATCGATGTCTTCATTTCCCAACAACCTTTTATAACTAAGCGCGACAAACTTGCAGGAACCCTCGGGAGGCATTTCACGTTCTCGCACCAGAGCTCAAGTTCCTTGAGTTGAGAAAGGAGAATGAAGTCTGAAGGTAGGGTGGTCAGGTAAGGAGATTCCAGCCATATAGACTCTAGCTTGTGTAATCTTCCAATCCACCAAGGACTGGAAGCTTTCTCAAGTTCAGAAGGGTCCATCCTAGAACTCCACAAAACCAAACTCAGATCTCTTAAGTTCAACAGGTTCGAGAGATCTGGGAATGTCTTCATCAACCAAGTGCTAAAGTACAGACTGGTCAGACTTTCAGGAAGCTTAGGCAATGCCGAAACTCGAGTGTATGTCAGTCTCAAGACTCTTAGAAACTTTAATCTCCCGATATTGCTAGGCATTTCTCCTTCCAAATATCCACAGCGGTCAGCATCTAACTCTTCAAGCTTATCCAACTGTCCTATGGCACTGGGTAGTTTTCTCAAGGGACTGCAGCGTATTCTCAGTACTTTCAAATTCTTCATGTTTCCTAATGAAGAAGGTAGCATTAGAATCTGTGATTGAGATAGATCCAATTCGACTAGTGATTGCAAATTCCCAATGGATTCTGGTAGTTGAGTAATCTCAGTTGCTACCAATGAAAGCTTCAATAATGATGCTAAGCAGCCAACTGAACTACAATTATTCAAATATTTACAATTACGAGCACTGAGAATTTCCAGTTTCTTCATTCCTTTCCATTCAGGAATTTCTTTTATTGATGTGCCATCCACAAGAATTTCTGTTAAAGCTTCTAGTTTAGCAAGCTCATCTGGCAGCTTGCTGAGTTTAGTGCAGAACTTTAAGTTTAAGAAAACTAGCTGCTTTAGCTGACCAATAGATCTATCAATATGGACCAACTTCTGACATCTTTCAAGAATTAATCTCTCTAAAGATACATGAGATGAGAAGTCAGGCGTTCTATATAACTTTCTGCATCCAGTCAGATTTAGAACCTTTAAATTCTTTGCCATCTGTAAGGGAGAACAACAAATTTCCAATCCCATTAATGAAAGCGGACGTTAAAAAAAATAAAACATCGAAATTATTTTGAAACACCTCCTAGGATCCTACCTTGATGTGGCTCCATCCACTCCATTTTTCCGTAATTTTACTCCATGATAGATCAAGAATCACTAGCTTTGTTAGGGAAAGGATTGTCAGCTCAAAAGTTGCAGGAAAGTTATGCCATGAAAGCCATCTCAACATCAAAAGTATGTATGGACTCTTACGGAAAAAACTGGCTGGAAGAACATTCAAGCAGCAATCACACCGAAAAGACCTGACTTGAGCAAAACAATGCAGGTTTGTGCTTGTCTCGTTGAAGTTTACGCCATCCACTTGCAGGAACCTTAGGTTTGATAGACTTGCAAATGCTTCATATGTAATGTTGTATTCACAACTACTTTCAGACTTGAGACAAATTGCTTCAACATTTTCTAATCCCTGGCCATACAAATAGGGAAATAGCAGTTAGAAAGCACTTAGTTGTTGTTTAAAAAATTATATGCATTTGAGGTGCTATCTTTCCTTGAAATTTATATATTACTGTGGGAGATGTGTCGTTACCGTGAATGGAAAAGATTTAATACATGTAAGAAATTCTTTTAATCAAAGAGTAGTTAAATAGAACTCTCTTGAGCATGAATGACTTTGTATACTCACCTTCGTCCTCATAAGAAGATCAAACACTTCCTCATGATTCCATACTCTGCTTTGCTTCTCTGATTTCATAGCACACTCTTGACGAATGATTTCACGTCCAAGGTCTCTCAGCTGATCGTGCATCCAAATACAGTTGTCTTCTTTAATCTTTATTAAAGACATCTGCTGGAGGACTTCAATGGCTTCTTCAGGAAAAAGCTCGCAACTTTCCCACATATGGATCACAATTCTTTTATCGAAACCAATGAAGAAACAGGCAATATCAAGGAATATGTTCTTTTGTCTGTCATCTAACGCCTCAAAACTGATCTTCAACTTCTTTTTTACGTCCTCATGGAGAACTATTTCCAGCTTCTTTAATATGCTATCCCATTGTTCTTTGCCTTTTCCAGATAAAAGTGAACCCATAACCTCTAGAGCCAAAGGTAGACCGCCACTAATCTTCACGGCTTTTGTGGAGTCAGGGAGGAACTCCTCCAAAGGATAGTCTCTTCTAAATGCATGTCTGCTGAAAAGTTGCAGAGAATGGCCAAAATCCATGCAGGGAAGTTCATAAGTCCAATCAACTTTGGGCTCATGAAGAACATCCTTGTTTCTGGTGGTAATGATAAGCTTGCTTCCTTGGCCAAACCATTTGCGCTTCCCCAGGAGAGCATCCAGTTGAATCCTTTTGTCAACATCATCAAGTAGAAGTAGAACTCTTTTAGAGAATAATCTCTCCTCAATCATTGTAATCCCTTCATCCACATTATCAATGTCTAGCCATTTCTTTCTAAGGAGTATAGAGATGAGCTGATTCTGCAGATACTCAATACCCTTCTGCTCGGAAGTTTCTCGTATGTTAGAAAGGAAGCAGCAAGCCTCAAAATGGTGGGAGAGTTGGTTGTAGACGATTTTGGCAAGCGTCGTCTTCCCAACACCACCCATGCCATGGATTCCGACAATCGTAGTTTCATCGGTGTCGGCAAACACCATTCTCATTATTTCACCCACATGATTGTCCATTTCAACTAAGCAATCAGATACTACTAAGTAGGCCTTTTTCAACTCAATCAAAACCTTGTTGACAACTTCTCTTACGAACTCACCTTTGCCTCTGATAGCATTGAAATAAAAAAAAAACTTAGATATTAGATTAAGGTGCAAAAAAATAAACCCAAAAAACAAGAAATGAAAATTCATCTCTGGAGCAAAACAGATAATACACCATGATGAAGAGCAAGACCTGTTCGGATTGCTTTGGAAATCCCATCCCTTTAACGCTCCCACCTCATTGAGAGCAGCCTTCCACCCATGGATGGTGTTTTCATCAAACTGCTTCTTCTTCACCTGCGAAAGAAAGGCCTCGCCGTAACCCCCAATTTGGTTTCGAACCTCAGATGGCCTGACATCGAAGAAAATGGGCATGATCTTCTGGCCCGAAGCTCTCTTGCACTCAACCATCTGTACCAACTCCATGAGACACCACTTACTGTCGGCATAACCTTTAGAGAAGATGGGTATCGAGATTTTGGACTGCTCAATCGCTTGGAGAAGCCCTGGACCTATCTCTTCCCCGGTACGGAGCTCTTCATTGTCTCTGTATGCTCGAATTCCAGCATCAATGAGACCAGTATACAGGATATCAGCAATATCCGAGCGTGTATCCGGTCCTCTAAAGCTCAGGAACACTTCGTAAGGCGACATGACTCCACAACTTCCTGGTTTGAGATGGTTCATCAGTACACAAGCAGTAACGGAATCGCCATCAGCATCTGAAATCCCGTTAACTGTGATTCACCTCTCCACTGGGTTGTACAGCAAGATGGAAACAATGGAAGCTACGATCAATGCCAAGTGCGAGGACCGACCTTGGTACACCCTCTAAACTATGAAAACAATGCCGTGATGATTCCTGTCGGGTTGGGAAAAAATTGTATGAGAGATCTGTTCAGGTCAATGATAGCTGTCAGCCTTTTTCCGAGTAGCATCGCATCTAATATATTCTATGGTCTTCAAAACTTAACAAGGAAGCTTCCGCTTCACTCAGTCGAGGTATACCCGATTTACTGTTTTTTTGTCGGCCATAGCCTTCTGGGAAATTATCAAATAAGGACCAAAAGTGGGTGCCTTTTTTTTTAAAAGGACCTCAAGTGGATAAGGTATCAATTAAGGATTTAAAGTGCCAAATTAGTATCAAATAAGGACCCGAGCTCGCCGGCCGGCCAAATGTTCTCCGGCCGGCGACCGGCCGACATTTCCGGCACCGGAATAGGGGCAATTTTGTCCAATTTTTTTTTTCTTTTCTTCTTCCCCGGTCGCCGGTCCGGCAACCGGCGACCGGGCCAGAGCTGAGGCCGGCGAGAGCTCGAGCTCGCCGGCCAGCTCGGCGAGCTGGCGAGCGGCGAGCTCCGCCCAGATCTGGGCGAGCTCGAGCTCGCCGGCCATGGCGAGCTCCGCCCAGATCTGGGCGAGCTCGAGGAGGCCGGCCTCGCCCGGATCGCGTAGTCGAGGGCCTTGGCGGGGCCGTCGCCGGAGGCGATGGTGTCGCGCGCGAGCTTGAGGAGGAAGGGCCCGAGATCCGGGTTGTCGAGGGCCGTATCGGGCGGGGCGGGGCTGGCGGCGGAGCCCGGGGACTCCGGCGGGGGCTTCCGTGGGGAGAACTTGGAGCGGGAAGGGGAGGGGGAGGGTGCCATGGCCGGCGAGCTCGAGCTCGCTGAGACCGGCGGGAGCTCGAGCTCGCCGGCCATCTGGGCGAGCTCGGCCGGCGAGCTCTGCCCAGATCTGGGCGAGCTCCGCCCTCGCCGGCCCGCACAGCCATGGCGAGGGCCGGCATGAGCTCGAGCTCGCCCAGATCTGGGCGGAGCTCGCCATGGCCGGCGAGCTCGAGCTCGCCCAGATCTGGGCAGAGCTTGCCGGCGCCCAGATGGCCGGCGAGCTCGAGCCCTCGCCGGCGTCGGGCGAGGGCAGCCTCGCCCTGAGGCCGGCGACCTCCACCGGCCCCGGCTATGGCCGGCGGAGGGAAGAGAAAAAAAAAAGAAAAAGAAAAAGAAAAAAAAACAGAGATGAAGGCTCCGTTCGTTTAGCGGAAAATATTCTCCTTTTGGAAAATATTTTCCAGGAAGTCATTTTCCTGGAAAATATTTTCCCGGAACATAATTTTCCGGTGTTCGGCGATCAATATGAAAAAGTTTCGGAAAATATTTTTCGCCGGCGCCGTGCGGCCATCCGGGCCGGCGCGTCGGCGGCTGCGGCAGCGGCCGCGGCGGCTGCGGCAGCCGGCCGCGGCAGCGGCAACGAACGCCTAACGTCGGCGTCCGGCCACGTTCGGTGAGCCAACGTCCGGCGGGCGACCGGCGGCAACCGGCGGCGGGCGGCAGACCGGCGGCGGCGGCGGCGGCGGCGGCGGCGGCGGCAGCGGCGGCGGCGGCGGCCGGCGACCTTAGTGAAGAAGAAGAAGAAGAAGCTCAGGAAAATGATTTCCGCTTTTGAAGAAGCGGAAGTCATTTTCCATATCACTGGCTATTTTGTGAGGGGGAAGGAAAATATTTTCCCAAGGAAAACGTTTTCCGCCCCCCGAACACCGGAAAACCCGGAAAATATTTTCCGGGAGAATATTTTTCGCCAAACGAACGGAGCCGAAATGTACTGTTCCGGTTGCCGGAATAGTAACTGTGCTCGCCGGCCGGCGAGATTTGACCGGCCGGCGAACCCAGGCCCTTACCTGAGACAAATTGAGTACTCCGGGCCCCATTTGAGACTGATTGGGCACTTCAGGTTCTTATTTGACACTATATTCACTTTGGGTCCTCTTTCGAGAAAAGGACCCCACTTGGGGTCCTTAATTGAAATTTTACCTAGCCTTCTCTATGCCCAGCCACGAGGGAGGAGAACCACGACGGAACATGCCAACAAAATAGACAGCTTTTGCTGTATTACTGATGATTAAGCAAAAACATCACCTGGATTGTTGACTATTCTTCATATACAAAAGCTACTAGTCGCTGATCTGCTGATGAGTTCGTTTAAACTTTGAAAATTACTTACCACTTAAGAGGAGGGGGAGTTACCTGTTACAAACATTGATATGTTAATTAAATTTTCCTATTCTAATATGTAGGACTTGAAAAGGGGTTTGCTTTGACTAAAAGTCAAGCCCGGCCCGAAGATTTTAAGCAACAGATTATGAACCTCGAACTTGGGCCTGGCTCGAGACAATATGAAATGGCATGGCCAGAAATAATTTGATGCGGGCCGATTTTCGCACGTCTCGATATTAGTCCCATCTCACAAGCAACTTCAATGGGGCATTCCCTCGTATTGGCTAGGTGTTTTGCTCCTGAAGTGCTTCTAACAAGGTTTGAACCAACACAGACGAGGAAAAAGGCAAACTCCCTTGCTAATTTCTAATGGGCTAAGAGTAACTTCTCCTTAGAGAAATATATGGCTCACATGAAGATGCTAGTAAGTGATAGATATGCACTTGATTTTGGGAGTAACTACTAATCATGTTGAAAAGATTCCTTCTCAAAATTATTGACATATAGATAAAAAAAAATAATTGTGAAGAGTTACTGACTAGTGGAGGAATAATAGACTAAAGACTATTTATCCTTTTGCAAAAATAGAAAAAAAGCTCACTAACTACTAATGATTACTTATCTTCTTCTAATCACTGCGGAAAAGTTACCAATAAAAGTACCCAGTTCATTGACACTTACTGTTTGCAGTGATTTGATATCAACCAAGTGGAGGTGTTACTACCTGATAAAAACATTTTATGTCATAAATGAAATCTTACTAATCATGTGAAAAATAACTTCTCACGAATATCTATATATTCTCTTCTCCAGAGTCCCGCATATATGAGTAGTTATAATACATAGTGTTTTAACAATAATTAGTAAATTTTAGGCCAATTATTACCATACAAAAAAAAAACTTCCAATGTTACACTTATGTTAATTTTTTTTTGCAAAATATAAAACATGTGAAAGAGATGCTAGAACTTATTCTTTTGTGTAACAATCTACCCTCTGTTTGTCCGTTAGTCAGTAATGAAAACATGGTCGTTGCGTTATGGATATGGCGAGACTAATGTGACTAATTATCACCATTAAGCGTCATTAATAAGTAATTAATAGAAGTAAGTGGTAAAAGTTATTTTATATATTGATGGTAAAAGAAGTTACTTTAAAGGTTAGAGAAAAAGGCAACATAGGAAAAGAGTACGGTAGAAATTGAGAGAGAGGCAGAGATGGAAAAATGACTGATTCAATCATCATGCAATCACAAACGGTAACGAAAGCAGATCAATGTACATTAGTTGAAGTTACCGATCCATTCCAAATAGTATTCAGGTCTCAGGACGACCACATCACTTCTCAACCTCAAGCATTTCAGCTTCTAAGAATTGTTCATGATCAAACATGTTGGCTTCTCGAAGCTAGAAAGGTCGGGTAGCTTTTTCCGAGCCAGTCAATACGATGCACCTCCAGTTGTTCTTCTCTGCCTTGAATCTCAAACAATTTAGGACAACTCCATGGGAGCAGTCTAGGACAACGTCGCCAGTGATGGCAGACCTGCAAGCATTAACGATAGTCCACAATCTCTAACATCGAAATTTTTAGTGTTCCTTTCAATTCTGGAATATCTATGAGCTCAATTCCATAGAGATAATGCTGTTACTTTGCCTGGTATAGTGTCGAGGGCCATGTCGCTGCCATGTCGAAAGGTATCGAGCGGTACACATGGTGAAGTTCTTAGATACAATCAATTGAGACAAACTAAATCCAAGGCAAAGAAAAAAGAGCTAGTGGAAAGTTTAGTCATAGAATTTTCTGTCAACTTTATCCCTCGAAAGTTTGTGTTCTTTGGACTCTTTAGTTTCTTACTACACTCGGGAAATTTGCGATCAATGTTTACTCTTTCACTCTCTCACAACTGCTATAGGAAAGAATATGAACTGCGGAGAGGAAGAATTCATATCTGAAATATTGACAGTCCGTACCTGGGGCAATGGTAGGAAAAGAAGATCCACAGCAGAAGCAATATAAAAAAACCTTTAATGTTGGAAGCTTAGCTTGGATACAGTAGTAACACAATTGAGAGAAGAAATGTTTGTGCTATATTTCTGATTATTACATGTGTATAAGGAGCTTGCAGTATATAGAGTTTTGAGTTGCCGGCCAACCACTGAAATCAGGTACGCAACAAACGTTTACATTCTACCATTAACCAAACTCAGAAGTCCACAAGATGAAAGTTTTCTAAAAAAATATAAATATATACTCAGACAAGTCGGATTCCGCTAGATCAGACTGTCTCTCTTCCTTCAATTCTCCACTGATCATCAGAACTCAGAGAATCTTCTATATTCTCGTGCTTGTGTATGTAAAAAGATTTTAGCTTCTTGAAGCTTGATGGATCCGTTTAACTTTTCCGAAGATTTAGAGGAACCTATCCAAAGTTGCCTCCAACGATTTTAGTCTGACTTGGATCTCGACCACTTTAGGACATCACTACAGATAAAATTTCTGGAGCTTGTTCAAGTTTGTCAGGTCAGGCAACTTGTCCAAAGATGGAACTCCTTCAAGCTTTTTAAGGCACTCAGGTTCTCCAACCTTGGAGGCCTCTGAACTCTCACTTTAGGGCAATGAGCAACTTCCAAATCTGACAGCGCCTTCAAATTTGGAAGGTCTATTGATGTTTTTATTTCCCTGCATGATTCGATATCTAAGTACAACAAATCTGGGAGAAGGCTAGGTCGGCATTGCAGCTTCTTGGAGGGGACCAGTTCAGGTTTCTTGAGCTGTGAAAGAAAAATGATGTCTGAAGATGGGGAGGTGAAATAACGAGATTCCAACCGCAAGGATTTCAGCTTGCCTAACCTTCCGAGCTACAAAGGACTTGGAACTTCAACGAGTTTAGAAGCATCCTCGAAATTGTCAAAACCTGAATTTTCCATACAATTTGAATATCTAATTTATAAGTAATTTAACATCAAATGAATATACATAATTTTTTCTTATTACTTTACGTAATCAAAACCCCGTTCAGAAGATCCACCTTAAAAAGATATGTAGAAGCGCTAATCTAAATGTCCCTAAACTCCGAAACAAACCAATATGTATAATAATTTAGGGGCGGTGAGTCTAAGCTTAGTAAATGAAAACTCTACATCCAAAATAGGAGGCCCACTCACCACTCGATCCGAGAACACAACAGTATAGTAACAATTAGGGGATAAGGTCCTATATCATTGTCAATAGGAAAGCCAATATTCACCTAAGATAATGTAATCCATGGATTATTTAAAAATGACTGTAATTATCTGTGCAATATATAAAATAGATGCAATGTTTGACATTCAGTTTAATACTCAAATGCACACAATTGAACATGCCAATCTCATGATGCATAGATATTAATAGCCCATCGATATACACAAGTATTTATTCCCTACTCGTTCCAGCCACAACTCATTTCGACTAACACAATTAACAAGGTATCGTCACTATTAACTAATGCGGGACGAAATCAAAAATACATTTTCGCCACGTTTCAACCTATTCATCACAGGTGTCCCCTACCAATGATAAATACATCATTGTACAACAGCATGATGATGGCTATCCCATACTCAATTCTCATCAAAATTCATACCCATTCTATTTTCTTTCTTTTCTCGATCTTGAACCCCTCGTTCATAATATCATACAGGTTATTCAAGTCCCATAAAGTTACACATGGCATATAATTTCATATATAAGCATTGTACTTTATGTCATCTCAACCTTATATAGAACAATTGAACATTTGTCTTTTCCTAAAGTCATACGTACTCAGAAAATTTAGTTATAGCGTTGGTATATTGCTAACAACACTTGTAGAATTTCAATGGAGTTGGTAAATTACTTAATATGGGGAACAAGCGAGAGCGCAGTACAATGGAGAAATGTATGCTGTGTTCAAAGTAGTGTTGTTAAGAGTCTGTTTAGTAACGTTTCTGTTTTTTTGTTTTCCTGTTCTTTTGTTCCCCGGAACAGAAAAAGAACAGAAATCCGTTTAGTAAAAAAAATCTACTTTTTTGTTTCTGGAACAAAAAAGTGATCCTGGAATAGATTTGGAACAGAAACAAAAAGCAAAAAAAATTTACTTCTTTGTTTCTTGAACAAAAACAAGAAACGATTTTTTCTAGAATCCTTTAAAAATAAGAAACAATCCATCGGCCGCAACCCGCCTACCGCCGCCTCTCGCTGTCCTTCGCCGCCACCTACCGCCCGCCTTCCGCCGCCGACCGCCTCTCGCCCGCTGGCCGCCTCTCGCTCGCCGGCCACCTCTTGTCGTTGACCACTGTCCTCCGCCGCTCAACTCTTGTCGCCACCCGCCACCGGCAGCCGTCCTCCACCGCTGACCGCCGTGCTCCATCGCCCGACGCCGGCCGCCACCCGGCGCTGGCCGCCTCCCCCCGCCAACCACCCGACTCCGGCGATCACCCACCACAGATCGCCGTCCTCCGCCGTCGGCGACCACCCACCACCGGCCGCCATCCTCCGCCGCCGGCCATTGTGCTCCACCGCTCGACGCCGGCCACCACTCGGCGCTGGCTGCCCTCGGCCACCGGCCACCTCCCGCCCTTGGCCACCCGACGCCGGCGGTCACCCACCATCGGCCGCCATCCTTCGCCACCGGCCACCGTGCTCCATCGACCGACATTGGCCACTCTCCGACGCCAACCACCTCATGCCGCCGCCCCCCCCGCTGCCGTCACCGCCGCCCGACACCACCGTGCTCCGCCGCTGACCGCCGTGCTCCACTGCCTCCCGCCGCCGACCGCCATCCTCTACCGCCGCCGACCACCGTCCTCCGCCCTCCGCCGCCACCTGCCGTCCTCTGCCGGTAGCCCAGAAGGGAGAAACTCGTCCATGGAATAGAAATAAATCGTTCGCACCGTACACGCGTTTCTATTCTTTTTCTATTCCAGGAATAGAATTTTGTGCAGTTACTAAACGTTATTTTTTGCTCAGAAACTCTTCTAAAAAATAGAAATAAAAAAAACTATTTCTGATAAAAAATTATTTCTGGGAACAGAAACGTTACTATGTAGATCCTAATTTACTTACGACACTAGTAAAATTTCAAATGAGTTGATAATTTACTACTTTATTGAAATATTAGTAAATTTCTGATAGTGTTAGTAATTCACTTATGACATCGAATAAAATTTCCAGAAGAGTTGGTAATTTACCAATTCAGGGCGAAATTTGTAAATTTCTGATAGTTTTGGTAATTTACTACCGGTTTACCTAACAAGCAAGTAACCAGTCTTTTTTCTTTTTATCTAACAATTCCAATTTTGCTGGTGATCCCACCCAAAAATTTCAAACGGTGACTGTAGAAATCTGTTTTTAGTTATCAAAACTAAAGAACCTTTGTGACCACTGCACATGATATGGGAAATCAGCAACTATTCTGTGAATATGGTTGCTGATGTCTGATTGAATTCGTGACACTGAATGCAACACATTCTCAGGGTACTGTCTCAAGAACGTTAATCTCTATGAATGAATTCTGGAGCAAGTCATCTTAAATCCTTGATGAATTTCTTCCATGACGACCTTAATCACTAAGTACGCCCACTAAACTGTTAGAAGCAGCAGGACTGCAACTGACCCAAAAAAAAAAGAAAAAGAAATTGCAGAACCGATTGATAATGCAAAGGTTTCATGCCTTCAAGGACAATATTTTGCTTCTTGCTAGACCTTGAGAAGCTCAGACGAAGAATCGTGTCCCCGTCGATTAGATGCAGATGGAGAAATCATTGAAAGGCAGTTTTCATTGCATATGAATGATAAGTCATGACTGAAATAATAAAAACACTCAATCCATTCCAAATCTTTTCCGAATCCATCACTAGTTGCATTTGAATTAGCAAGCAAACTCAATTCATGCAACAGCGAAGAGAAAAGGGCCACGTTTTTTCCACTTATCCTTTGACTTAAACACTCCATTTTTTTTTTGTGTTTTGACCATACTATCCGTTGGGTGGCCCACCACTTATACTACAAATCTACAAAAGTGATCCCTTTTTTATTTGGTCAACTCATTTTATTTTGTTTCTTCTTTTTTTTTTCTTTGTGGTCTCACTTTCTTTCTTTTTCTTTCTTTCCATGTCTTTAACGTCTTAGTTCTCGGCTCTTGCAGATCTCTCTTTGTTTTCTCTTTTGCAGGTCATTATATTCTTTCTACACCTCCCTACTCCTCAAGTCACGGGCATTAAGAAGTTGAACATCTATGATGCCAACCTTGTCATCCTCCACACTTTTGCTGGCATAGGCATTGGGCTCACCATTGACCTTCCCAATGAGCCCGTTTTCGCTGCCACACACAGCCTCTTCTTGTACTATTGAAGGTAATATTGAGAAGCACTCGGTTTTGGTGTTTTCTCTAATGCTGTTTTCCCCATTTTTTGGTAGAAAAAACCCGTGCTCCTTTTAAAACTATCAACAACCGAATTCATGGTTGCTAACAGATTTATCTAGTATCTATGGGAAAGCTCCAACAAACTCATTCAATTTGACCTTTAAATGGAGCATGTTCTTGAGAGCTTTTGTCTCTCATATTTCCTGATTTTCCTTTGTCTCCTTTATCTAGATACTAATTATGATTTGGAGCTCGTTCCATCTTCAAAAGTCTGAAGATGCTTGTAGTGGAAAGCTGAAGACTGGTGGTTTTTTGCTGGTCTCATTGTCATAGTTGACAACGAGGTGTTACTGTAATCGACCCAGATATGAAAACCTAAAGTCAGAACTTTATTCGAGATGAGACCCACTAAGATCCTCTGTTCTCAAGATGAAAGAATGGCATGCAAGGGAGATAACAGAGACCATATGCAAGAGCCTAAAAGTAAGACGTCAAAAGGCATAGAAAAAAAAGAAGGAAAGTGGACCCGTAAAGAAAAATAGGTACAAAATAAAAAGAGTTGACCAAACAAAAAAAAGATCATTTTTGTAGATTTATAACAGAAATAGGGCCACACTATCAAAACACAAAAAATGAGAGTGTTTAAGTAAAGGGAGGAGTGGAAAAAGCCCGTCCCGAATAAAATTACCAAAAAAGGAATAGGTGAAGATGAAGAATCAAATTAGACAGCCGCCGAGTCTCAATGAAATGCAGACAACCAAATAAAGATGCAGAGAAGGAAGAACCCTTCTTGGACTGAGTCAGCTGCAACCAAAATGCAAAAGGAAGACTTTCTAGACAATCTATTGAACCCGTGGGGAACAGATGGATGCGCAGGAAGACGTGGTCGCTGTCCCGTAGGGAGATCTCTGTCAGGTTGAATCGCATCTCGTGCTTCCGCTCACGGTTGCCGTCACATCCTTGACGGTCAGAGTCCATTGCTGCTGGTTCTAAGCGAGCTTCTTGCTCGGGTCGTCGCTGATGAGGGAAGAAGACGAAGGAAGGAGAAGGAAAGAAAGTGAGGAGAGAGAGAGAGAGAGCAACGGGAGTAAAACGAAAGAAAAATAAGAGAGAAAAAGTCGAAATTCCTGAAGAGTGGGTCTCGCCTGTACACGTGGCATCAAGTATATCCTACTTGGCACTAATTAATGTCTCGTCTCACGTTTCTCAAATCACTGTACTCATCGGATTCCAGAGTCTCCTCGAACTTTTCACATTCATCTATTTCCAAAAGGATTAGCTTCTTGAAGCTTGAAGGATCAGATAACTTTCCCAGAGACCGGCAGCAATCAATATGAAGGAGCTTCAATGATTCTAGCCTACCTTGAATCTCGACCAGACGAGGACAAAGCACTAGACTGAGTTGCTTGAGCTCCTTGGAGTTGGTCAGGTTAGGCAACTTCTCTAGCAAAGGAAGATCCCCCAAACGTAAGAAACTCAAGTTTTCTGAATCTTCCAAGCCTTGAATCTCTTTTAGCTCGCAACAGCCATATATATCTAATTTTTCTATATACTTGAAGCTTAATGGATCAGGCAACTTTTCAAGTGATTCACAGTACATCAAATGAAGCTCTTTCAACGATTCTAGCTGACCTCGAACTTCAACCAGTTTAGGACAACCTGATATCAAAAGTACCCTCAGCTTCTTCAAGTTGGTCAGGTTAGGCAACTCCACCAACGAAGGAAGATGATCAAGATGAAGCCTTTTTAGATTTCCCCCAAGGCCTTGAATCTCTGTTAGCTGCTTGCAATAACTGACATGCAATTCTGATAACTTTTCCAAATATGAAACATCTATCGACTTTTCCATTAACCTGTGCCCTTGAATTCTGAAGTATGACAAATTCTGGGGAAGCATAGGTAGGCATTCTAGTTTATCTACGATGAGTACAAGCTTCCTAAGCTTCGAAAGGAGATTAAGATCTGAAGGTAGGGTGGCCAGTCTATCACAACACAACAACAAGGACTCTAGCTTTCTTAACCCTCCGATCCAGTTGAGGGTTGGAGCTCCCAGGAACAAGCTTCTAGACCTTAAATCCAACTCCAAAACTCTCAAATTTAATAGGTTCGAGAGATCTGGGCATCTCATATGTGGATTATATTTAAGGTCTAGATTGGTCATACTTTTAGGAAGCTTAGGTATATTGGAAATTCCCGTGCTCGTTAATCTCAAGATTCTCAAAAATGATAGTCTTCCAATCTCACTTGGAATTTCCCCACACAAATTTCCACAGCCGCTAGCATCGATCTCTTCAAGCTTCTCCAACATCCCAAGGGCGCTAGGTAGCTTTTCTAAACGGGTGTAAGACATCCTTAGTACTCTCAAATTCTTCATTTTCTCTATTGAATTGGGTAAGTCTTTAATGTTTGACCGAGTAAGATCCAACTCAACGAGAGATCCAAAATTTCCGAATGGAAGTTCAGTAATTTCTGTATCTTCCAACCTAAGATTTAACAATGATGTTAAGCAACCAGCAAAATTGCATATACTCAATGATTTACATGCAACTGCACTAAGAGTTTCCAATTTCTTCATTCCTTTCCATTCAGGAATTTTGGTAATAGATGTCCAATCAACAAGAAGTTCTATCAAGGCTTCCAGTTCCTCCATCTCGTCTGGCAATGTCCGAAGTTTCTCACAATCTTCCAAGTTTAATAATACTAAATGCTTTAACTTACCAATAGACCTATCAACTTGAACGAGTTCCTTGCACCCTCGAAGAATTAGTTGCACTAAATTTTCATGAGCAGAAAAGTCAGGAGTTCTACGCAAGTTTCTGCATTCAGTCAAATTTAGAACCTTCAAATTCTTTGCCATCTGTAATGAAGAGAAGAAGTCAATTCTGGATCATTTTGAGATACAAGACCACAAAGTTTATATAGCAAATTCATGTTGAAATAATACCATACCTTGAGGTGGTTCCATCCCTCCCAGTCATTTGTAATTTCACTCCGTGATAGATCAAGAATCACTAGCTTCATAAGGAAAAATGCGGTCAATTGGAAAAAGAGAGGAAACTCATGCCATGAGAGAAATCTCAGCTTCGGAAGGATGAGTAGATTCCTCTGGAACCAGTTGGTCGAAGGAAAATGTTGAACGTTGTTCTCATCCAAGTCTACACAATCCACTTGAAGAAATCTTAAATTTGATAGGGTTTCGGATTCTTCCTTCTCAATGAAGTCTTGAAATTGATGATCAAACTTGAGACGTATTGCTTCAACCTTTTTTTTTCCCTGCCAAAGCAACAAAATTAAACAGAAGCTAGTAATCACATAATTCCCTGTCGAAGGGATTCGAGTTGAACATACTTTAGGAATGTACATTTTATTTATACTTTCAATTTGATTTATAATATGATTTACTGATGAGCATGTCAACATGGTAAGCAGACAAGTAATGACTCGGTTGAGATAGAAGCAAATAAGCAAAGTCAAGGTGGATAACTCGCCTCTTTGAATAGGATTAACATTTCATACGCGACTTTACCTTTGCTATGAGAACATCATTTGCTTGCTCATGATCCCACACCCGACTTTGCTTCTCTGGTTTAAAATTACCATTTTGACAAACGAAATCTCGCCCAAGGTCTCTTAGCAGATCATGCATCCACAGTCGGTTACGTTCTGTAATCTTTATTAGCGATGTCCGTTGGAGGACTCCAAGATAATAGTCAGGGGAAAACCCACAGCTTTCCCACATGTGACTCACAATTCTCACATCATACCCAATGAAGAAGCAACAAACATCGAGAAATATCTCTTTCGCTCGAGGAAGTAATGCCTCGATACTGATTTTCAACTTTTCTTCAACATTTTCATCAGGAATAGTTTCCAGCTTCTCTAATGTGGTCTCCCAAAATTTTTTGTCATTTCTAGCTAAAAATGAACCTATGATCTCAAGAGCCAAAGGTAGATGACCGCAGATTTTTACCGCTTTTTCTGAGAGGGGGACGTATTCTGCTGGAGGATGATCTTCTCTAAAGGCATGTTTGCTAAACAGTTGAAGCGAATGATCAAAATCCATTTCAGTAAGTTCGTACTTCAACTCAACATCTTTGAGAACTTCCTTGTTTCTTGTGGTAATAATAACCTTACTTCCTTTGCCGAACCAGCATTTACCCATCCCCACAAGAGCATCCAGCTGAGCCTTTTGGACAACATCGTCAAGTAGAAGTATGACCTTTCTAAAGGATAACCTCTTCTTGATCTCAGTAATCCCTTCTGCTCTATGACGGATGGGTAGACATGTTTCTTTTAGGATACCAGAGATGAGTTGATTCTGCAAAATCTCAATCTTTGTGTCTTTAAAGTTAGACAGGAAGCAACAGTTAGTGAAATCGACCAACAGTTTATTATAGATGATTGTGGCAAGAGTTGTCTTTCCGACTCCACCCATACCATGGATACCAACGATCTTTGTTTCAGTGGTCTGTTCACCTATCAATTCCATGATTTCATCCACATGATTGTCCATTTCAACCAAGTAATCAGATAATGCCAAGTAGTTCTTTTTCAACTCGATCAACAGTGTCTGAACAACTTCTTCTGTGAAATCACCTTTGCCTCTAATAGTATTGAAGGCAAAAGGACCAAATTGTTAGAATAATATCTAAGGTACAAACAAATCATGAACAATAATAAATTCAAGTACCTCCCCTTGAGTTCCCATCCTCTTAATGTTCCAACCTTGCTGAGAGCTGCCTTCCAGTCTTGAATAGTCTCATCAGTGTACCGCCGCTTATTTTTGTGTAAATTAATGGCCTTACCGTAACTTCCAGTTTGGTAACGAACCTGGGATGGTGCTACATTATAGAAAATTGGCATGATCTTTCGTCCCCAGTTTTCCTTGCACTCCACCATCTGGACCAACTCCATGAGGCACCATGGACTGGCAGCATATCCTTTAGATAAGATAGGAATTGAGATTTCCGACTGCTTAATCGCTTGGACAAGCTCCGGGCCAATCTCTTCTCCAATGGGAAGCTCTTCATTATCTCTATATGCCCGTATTCCGGCACGAATAAGGCTCTTGTAAAGGTAATCAGCGATGTCACGGCGAGTGTCTGGTCCTCTGAAGCTCAAGAATACTTCATAACCAGATTCTGTTGGCTTCTCCATTTCTTGAATTTTCAGAGGACTTGCAATGACCCAATATCCCACTTGAAAAACTTTTACTATGAAAGTGAAGTGATGATCAGAAACTCTTCCGTTTCACGTCATTCTAGAAAGAAACCAAGATGACAAATGCACAAGCTCCTTTTGAGCCTTGCACTCGACACCAAAATATGTCAGAATATTTTATTAATAATATAGCAGAGAAGTGGAACCATCTCAATTCTAAAGGAAGAAATTTCCAAAGTATTGTGGAATTATGGGTTTTAGTTCACACCGGAAATTGATTCGAAAGAATAATATTTCGAGAAGATAAATCACTGGCAACCTATTTTTATCTTAAACTTTTTCTTTATGTGATAAAATTTCCCTTGAAAGGTGACGTTGATAGCCCTCTGCACATAAGTGCCTGCTGTTGCTTGTAGTTGACTAATTATCTTATTGTCTGATAAGAAATTATGATGCAACCTTCCTCTTTTAGTTTTAACAAAATAGATTTGACAGACATTCCGCAACCCTCAATTAGTTGCTCCCTTGACCTTAATGGAGGCAGGCGAAGAATCGCATTCCCCTATGACGATCTCATTGGAAGAGTGAAATCAAGAAATTACACTGAAGCAAATTCAAACCTTACCGTTGGACTAGTTTCTAAAGAGCATAAGCCGATCTATAATTACAGTCATCTCTTAGTTTATTAATATACAGGTACAGTCAATGGGTGAGCATTAGTTATGCATGAGGCTATTATTCACATCTGCCAGAAAGTATCAGCATATTAGAAAAAGAGGAGTGGATTGCTAATCACTTATGGAGTTAATAGAACTTCAACGGCAAAAAGAAGCATGAATGCTATAACTGTTTTCGCAGAAAATAAGTCTGAACACACAGGAGTTCTGCATTTTACGGAAGTTGCGACTTCCGGTTCACAGCAGAGTGCAACATTATAGTCTATTCAGTCTGTCTCTACTGTTAAATACATAGTTGATGGTGTCAATTTTCTGTCTAGGAGTGTTCTTACTGCTAATCACCAGACCATAATGTACTAATTTGTTCTCTCTGAGTCTCTTAGAGACGGCACTGTCCCTGTTCGCACACGAAAAATCCCATTAAACAAATGAAATCAACGGACTCCACTCAAGCTAGTTCAGCTTTTAGAGCCAGCCCAGATCCTTAAGAGTGTAAATGCGATCCCTAATTACAGAAATCTCGAGTTTTATCAACAAGCTGATGGATAGGAGTGGGATTGTGTTTCAAGATCTGAGGCCTGACTGTTGCATAGATGGAAGCAGATGAGCAGGGTTTAGCATGTGACTAGAGTTGGGCTAAAGCTATTAGTATTGGACGCAAATGGCAGCGATCAATCATCGAGTCAACTGAGGAAAGAATTGATACTGATCTGAGAGTCCCTCTATTGTTTCCATCAAATTCTGCACCTAGATGCATTACAGAACAGACCCAATTCATTAAAAAAAGCAATAGATGAGAGGAAATTACCGGAGATGGAAGGGTGAAGATGAAGAGTCCGGATCAAATGCTGAGAAGCAGATATAGATCCCAAGAATAAACGTTCTTAGTTTGAGTTCAGCTGAAGAAAGACTTTCTATTAGACAATCTTCTCACCCTCACGGGCCTCGCTCTTCCAGGAAGGTGAGGACTCGCGAGTTGCAGATACACTTAAGCCGACCGTTGACTTTTGAGGTAATCTAGTTGAGGTGGGTTGAAGTTTCTGTAAGTCCAGATATTCTTTTGGCACAAACCACCAAAGTTCAAAAAGACGAGGTCTTTATGCAAATTATTTGGAAATTATTTAATTATGTTGATTGATGTTCTTTTAATGACGATGAAACCCTTCTTTTGTTGGTGAAACCCTAGGCCCATTTAAATTTAAAATAAATTGAACCGACAAATGTAGAATCCATACTTTTAAGCATTTGAGATGGATTATATTATTCACGGTAATCTCATAAGACAGAAGTTAGGTTATAAGCTCTGTTTGTTTCGTGAAAAATGAATAATTTAAAAATAATTTCCTAAAAATGATCGCTTGAAATAATTAGCCGATGGAAAATATTTTCATTATGGAAAATAATTTATATCCAAAAATTTCCGTGAATGATAAAAATATTTTTCGTTTAATCATTTTTGTAAGCGGCATATAAATGATCATTTTAGGCAAAATCTTTTTCAAATCATTCATTTCCGAAGAAAAAAACGCACCCTTAAACTCCAAAAGTTATGTCGGCCAGAAAGTAATAAAGCTCAAGAAAAGTTACAATACAAGTGGGACAATCTATTTTTTAATTGGTTTTAGGATCTTATTACATTCATTAAAATAAAAGAGGGAGCGGAGAAGTACTACGATCTTCTAAACGAAGTCTTGACAATCCTAATTCTAATCTAAGTCTAAATTGGAAAATTATGTGAAAAACATACTTAAACTTTAGCCAACAACCCTTTTGGAAGATGTGTACAGCACATGTAGGGCACATGAAAATTTCAACGGCAGCCGAAGAAAAAAGAGTGCCCGAATTACACAGGGGAGCCAAGCTCAAATGGGCTAAATTTAAGAATCCAATGAGTTAAGAGCCCGATTCGAATGAAATTCACAAAATCACATCGGTTTAAAAATTAACACATTGAAATTAATGTGGATCAAATGTTAAGAAGCTGATAACGATGCCAATAATTTCTCGGCGTTGAGTTCAG